TTCTCCTTGAACTTTTCTTATTTATTTTCACCCTCTATCTGTCCTACTTAGCTGCCTTGCAGATTCTTTTTTCTTATTTTCATTTGCCTTCTCAGGTTCATCTGCTTATTTTTTCTCTTTCTAGTGTTCATTTGCTGCCTTGATTCCCTCCTGCTTTATCTTTGATTAATTTCTTCCAGTCCTGGAAATAGAGGAAATGTCTCATAGAGGAAGCTATCACAGTAGCTGTTATAAAATGATGTGGAATGTAAATGACAGTATAATGGCACATACCATGGGATATGCCAAAAATTCTCATGCAACTGATTATCTTTCAAGGCTTGGAAGGGATGAAATTGATGTGTGCAGGGAATCTTTAGATACTCAACGTGTCAACTATATAGACCCTGAAGAGGAGACCAGAATAAATGACTTTTTAGGTGGGAAGGTCAGTTTTAAGGTGATGAGGCAAAGATGACTTTGGCAGTCCTATCCTAATAGGCTATCCAGGGATGAGCCCCTTCATGGGATGAGGGTTGTAGTTGAACCTTGGTTCTGCGCTGAGATGCCAGGTGCTGCCTGCTTGTTAGAGTCACCCAAGAGAGGAGAAAACATGATCATAACAATGCATTGTGTCCTTGAGGCAGTGAGCAGTGATCTGCTAGGTGAAGGAAAAGGTTTCGGGATGAGGGTTGTAGTTGAACCTTGGTTCTGCGCTGAGATGCCAGGTGCTGCCTGCTTGTTAGAGTCACCCAACAGAGGAGAAAACATGATCATAACAATGCGTTGTGTCCTTGAGGCAGTGAGCAATGATCCCCATATTCCTGCTAGGTGAAGGAAAAGGTTTTGTACTTGTGAGTTCTTCCTCTGTTCAAGTGGCTGGTGCTCCTCCCGCTTCCCGGTGTCAACTTTTAGCATTTTATGAGCTGTCCTGAGAATCTGTTCAAGTTCTTGAATGTACGGAAAATAATGCCTGTCACATTCCAGCTTCCCTTCTCCATGCCTTCCTCAGTTCCTGGCCCTATCTGTCCTCTCTTCCTTGCTCTCTGCCCCCTCTGCCCTGCTGTGTTGGATTGTTACCAGACTCTGTTGACTCCGCTATCACAAGAAAGGAGTGACTGAGGAAAAAAGAGGTGGTAAATCAGCTGTGCCTGTGATGGATTAGCTAATTGGTGCTTTATGGTAGGTAAATTGTTTGGTAGTGTCCAAGGCAGAAGTTGAGCAAAAAGCGTGGAACTGATTAATGACTCTGCTCACAAAACATACCTCTAGTTTTTGGGAGTGAGGTATGCCACTGCTCGATGGCTGACTATAGAAATGTTAATTCTCTCTGAATAGAAAACCCATAGTTATGGCTTGGACCCAAGCCTCATCCTTAACTCCCAAGTTGTTTCTTTCTTCCCCTCAATTCTTATACAAAATAACTTACTTAATTGTGGAAACAGCCTGAGATTGGTATCAGTGCAAATCCTTAAGTGTAAGCCCTGTCCTAATGTTTTTGCATGAATGCAAGGTATTGAATGTCTTCAGGGGTGCTTTGCATGGTGGTTATTTTAGACAGAAAAGTCTAGACAGTTCTTAGGATCTATTGCACATCTCTACACCTGCCAGAATTTGGGAGGGAGTGTTGTTCAAATTGCACTGCTGTTCATCAGAAAGGTTTTCACAACACGCATAGCACTAACTGAATTAATCTGTTTTGCTCACTCTCCCTCCCCCAAAAAACCTCTGCTACTAGTGTTCTAAAACTTGGATATTATTCTGCAATTGCTATTTTTATTTATACCTTTCCTCATTCTCTAACAATTACATAAATAGAAAGGACATTCTTTTGTGCATGGTTTTGTTGTATGTGCAATAATATAAAGATTTCACACACGATTGAGATAAATGCTTTTTAAACACATTTTGAACTGAAAATTAATAGATTAGCTTTCAGAAAGGCTCTTCAGTGGATAAAGGCAATAAATATAGATACCTTTTTTCAATGTCAATCTTAATTGTATTTTTCCAGAAATACAGAAAACTACTTTCTTGCTTGAACCTGCTAATATTGCACTGTTGAAAATGACCTGGCATGTAAGAAAGTATCTAAGTAATGTCGACTTGCATTTTATTGTTTTTAATTCATCTAAGTTCTTCAGCAATATCCAGACATTGCAATTGACAATACCAAGTCTCCATAAGACTCTGAAGTTCATGGAGAAAAGACATGGAAAGAATATAGATGTGTGGAAGAAAGGAAAAATGAGCAGTTCATTTAGACTACTGGTGACATTTGAATGCTGATTTTAAAACTTTGCTTAAATATTATTAAAATTTATTGAATTGGGTAATGAGTCCTTCCTCCTCCCTTCTCCATTTCCTCTTGGGGGAATGGAGAAGGTTTGCACATGATGTCTTTGATTCACATGTGATTAGACATTTAATTCATATCATGGAAAACTAAACTGTAGGCTATAAAATGTGATTGCAATCTCAATTAAAATGTTTAATATTTCCCCCTGGTTTCTTAGTAAAAACAATAAAAACTTTGCTAATGCTCGTAAGCTCATCTCAAACTCTGTCTACCAGTACATGAGTTTGTGGGTCTGTCTTCACTTTCTGCTTTGCATAGTTTTGGTCATTTAATCTTAAATATGTGTCTGGCTGAGCAGTTGTGCCACTGTGTTGGCTATTTTGAGTAAATGTTTGTGCAATTTTGTAATATCTTATTATATAAAATATAGTCCTACAGTGTGGTTATAGAAGTACTGTTTTTAAGGCCTCTTGATTAAAAAAAAATTTAAAATAGCCCTTCAAGTTTTTAGTAGGCGTTCAAGAATGGGCAAGCATGAGTTAAAAAAAAGCACAGGCAAACAAAGAGCCACAGTTGTATTTCTTGGTGAGGATATATATGTTTTAATTCCCATATTTTAGAATAGAATGAAGTTCTAGAAAGGATAGCAGGCAAAAAGCAAACTGCATTAGGAAACTGTAAATATAAAACCTTGACTGCATGCTGAATAAAGTATTTTATTTTAGGTGTTTGTGTAGTTTGTAATGGAAACTATGGGCTTACAAGAGCAAGTGATGGGAAACAGTGGTCTGTGAGGCAGCAATAAAAATTGGGAATGCCAAATATGTGCACTGTATGTCAGCCATGCTTGTGAATTTGTTTGAAAAAATAAATTGTTAAACAATGAAGGCCAGTTATTTTTTTAAATTATTTTTCCTGGGAAAAGAGTTTGTATAGCCTAAGGAGGGATTTGGTGCCTGTGGGAAAGAGAACAGTGGGCTCAATTTTCAGAATTTCTGCAGCTTTGCCAAGACATATGGAAAGCAACAAGAGTGCACCCTGAACAACTGTAGCCCTGGGAGACTCTGCTAGACCTGCATGTGGGTTTTTCCATTCATAATTATGCTTAAAAATCAAGCTGTGTGCGCTGGTAGCTCTGCACAGGGAGGAGTCGAGCTCGTTCAGCCAGATGTTGATTTACTGTAATAATTAAGCTGCTCTAGTCATGTAAGGGGGTGTCTGTGCCCATGAACTTGGGAAGGCGAGTGGTGTGTGTTTGGTCAGGCCGTGCCTTTGGGAGCCCATCCTCTGCACATCTGCTGTGCTGTGGGGAAGCAGCGCCTGCTCCTGCCGCTGTTGTGTTGTGAATATGTTTCATGTGACTCCTCAAACCCCCTTTGTGATTTGAGTCAAGTGTTTTCTTGGTGGTAGAGTGTGCTGGGAGTGCTTGTTTTCCAGGCTGCTGCTGCAGCTCCACGAGTGGAACAGAGTGCTGGTCTTTTGGCTCTGGTTTCTCTGTAGTTCAGGATGCTGTTCATGTTTCTCATCTGCTGCCTTTGATATCCTGTCCATCTCAATGGTTTCCTTTTGAACCGGAGCTGTGCATAAACATCCTTTATTCAAGTAAAGGTTCAGCCTTTTTTTAAAAAGGAATGGTAAAACAATGTAGCTGTAGTGGACAATGCAAAGATGTCAAATGTGTTATCTGAATTTTTGCTCATGTCAACTGTTTTCAATGAGTGTGGTGTATTCCTGCAAAACAGACCTAATTGGGTCGGTTCCTTTTGCTCTAGCCAAAATACTGTAGGGGAACGGAGTTAAAGAGCACTGAAACATTTGAAAAATAACATCCATCCAAATTCTCCCCCAGATTGTTGCTGTTCACAGGCTCTTAAACAACAGAGGAAATAAGGAAAATACACAAGGAAACAGGATTAACACATGAAGCTTAGAGTAAAATAAGATGAAAACCAGAAACACTTTCTGTAATCACTTGGGAAAACCTACTGTAGAGAACAGCATCAAAGAATCACTGTTTAAAGAGAGGATTTGGGGGATATTGCTGGGACAAAGTAGTCTAAACTGTTTTAAAAGTACTTCTAGATAGAAAAATGAATTAGATTTCTTACTTGTGTGTTGTTGATCCTCAGAAAGGGGAAGCAATGGCTGCTTCAGGAAGCTGCAGGCTCTTATCAATCAAGGTAATAATGAGACTTGAGCCAAACATCCTTTTGATTGCTTTGCCTGTATGTTTTATTTTTTTTGTCATTTTCCTTCTCATCATTTTATGCTTTTGTTTCTTTGCTTGTTTAACAGGCTTTGGGCAAGGTCTTTGTTCTTGCCTTGCCCTGGATTTTTTTTTTCTTTTTTTTTTTTGACAGTTGTTTTTTTTTGTTGTTGCTATGGATGCCCCTCAGGGTCTGGGTTACCCTGATGTGTATTCCCTTTGGTCACTTTGCCTATGCAGACAACAAAGGCACATTTTTACTGGCTGAGCTTGATTCACAAGGAGCAGGCAGTTTGTGCGTTGACTTAGGTGACCCAAAGATCCCCATAACTTATGTGCTCTATTTTTATGCTCTTGTGGCACAACCTCAGTCACATTGCAAGTTTCCTTCATAATTTTGCTTTGTACATTATATGAACTTAAAATTTCTGCCTTTTTCAAGGTCTGGGTTTTTTTTGGGGGGGATTTGTTAGTTTGTTTCTAATGTCTCCTTGTCTGTCTTTTGTGTTTTGGTAGGCCTGGATGATTGCCTGCAGCAGTATGTCCATAAATTTGAACGGGAGAAGATAAATGGTGAACAGCTGTTACAGATTTCTCACCAGGACCTTGAAGACTTGGGTATCTCACGGATTGGACACCAGGAACTGGTTCTAGAGGCTGTGGATCTCCTGTGTGCACTGGTTAGTCCCATTGTGAAGAGATGAGCAAACAATTTCTTAAAGGGCTTTTTTGGGTGAATAACCAAAGCAAGATTGATAAAACCGGAATACCTTTGTATCTTGCTTTCTGTTACACATCATGATAAAAGAAAAACGTAAGAATTTGTTTAATTCTTGGAAGTATTGATAGTTCTCTAACTTTTGTATTAACAGTTCTTTTTTCCTGATAAGAGGCAACTTCAATTAATTTGTGTGCACTTCCAAAGGGAGTTGTCTGAGTGGCGTTAGATCTTGCGGCTCCTGTTAGTGAACAGTTTTAGAAGACAGAAGACACACTGTTGAAGTGACAGGTGCTGGAAGTTCCTCACATCAGTTGAAGTGGGTTTAGGGTAATTCTGTAGCAAACCTAGGAAGTGAAGAAAAATTAATTCTTGAGATGAGGGATGTTTAGCCACCTCAGTTACAGTTTAGCTGAACTCTTAATTGGATTCAGAACTTAAGCTGTTCTTTTGTTCTACTCCTGATATATAACTGCAGATACTTTGAAAACAAACATACTCGGAAAAGCATAAATATATTTTGGATTGTTTTACTAGTGCAGGCTTTATTTAAAAGCCATAGTTTGGTCACAGACTTGAAGGCCTGTTTGATGTAGTGCAGTGTAATGAGCACCAGAGGTATATATAATTACATCAGGGAGGAGGGTGGGAAAGCCTGCCCGATGATTCCTTGGCCAGCACTGGCCTGTCTTCCCTACATTAGGCAAGGTTTGGAGCAGCAAGCATATTCTTCTTAAAATGGAGAGTGCTTATTGCCTGTGTGATACGTGCTTTATTTGCTGCAGAGAGGTGCTACAGGGAGTGTTCTACTCCACAACCTGGAGCAAATTGGACTGAAAGAAGCATATTTAACGAAATCTCTTCAAACGATCTAAAACGTTTCTCAAAAAGTTACTCTTATACTTGAAAGACATTTTATTTCCTTTAGGTATTTGATCTACCAAAAAATTTTAACATTAACTTGAAAACCTAATAGAAGAATGTAGTTGGACTGAAAAGCAGTTCATGCTGCTTTTGTTGGGCAAGCAGGGGTCTTGTGAGTTAGTAAATGTAGTGTGGGCTGTATATGGTCCTGACTGAAGTCATCTACGTGGTAGTCCCCAAAGGCACTTTTTTATTCTCTTAAAAATATTAGAATAAAGTGAACAAAGCTGGACAACTGCCAGAGCCTAAAGCTGTGTTTTATCTCTTACAATTTCCTTCTAATTTCCTTTGTAGACAAAAGTTTTGACCTCAGACCCATTTCTGGAAATCCTTTGTGAAATGCAGCTCAAGTTAATGCATTAGACAGATACTGCATATTACAGCTGAAATGTATTTGTTCCCTTTTTAAGAGGTGCAGGAAGAATTCCTGTGTTTTCAGCATACCCTTTGCCACCTTCTTGATGCCTGTTCCCTTGAGTTTTTGGAACTGCTTAGAGTCACCACTGATTTTGTTTCCAAGGGGATAATAATTGCTAATGACAATAATTTTTTTTGTGTTGTTGTTTCTTTTTGTGCAAGAGAGAGGTTTACTGATTCCACCTGTGTTAGTTCTTTGAAAGTGGGAATGTTTATGGTTTAGTGGTTGTTTTGTACATATGCTGATAGTTCCCCAACTTTTGGGGCCTTATAAGCAAAGGAACAATTAATTTTTTTTTTCTTTTTAACCTTTTTTGCTTTTCTGTTCCCCCTTTTTTGATCCCATTGCCACCCCACTAAGCTGTCAGCTCACACTCTGGAAATGTAGCATTGGCTGGGCCAGCCTGATGTCACTCTCTGCAAGGTTGTCGTTCTTGGTGGGGAAAGGCTGAGAGGGGATTTTGGTGGTTTCCCAGTCCTGGAGTTCCCAAGAAGAATTTCCCCTTTTATCTAGTTTTGTCTTGGCAGTTTCCCAGCTAAGTTTCCTTCAGATCAATGCTTTGGGCTCCCTCACACCACAGGAACACATGTGACAGTGAGGAAGCTCTCTCTGGAACATCTTTCTCCTGCAGTATCTGTTTTCAAGCATTCACCATTGAGACCTTTGTTCCAGCCTCAGTAGATAAGTCACTAAACAGGATGTGAACACAGTCCTTGCCTTGAGAAAATACACCAAATGCACCTAATTTTTTAATTTAGTTTTTCTCAGGGCTCAGTACTATTTGGCAGCACTGAGCTAAAAGTATTTCTGTGAGTTTCTGGTGTGAAGAGGAAATAATTGCATCTTTTTTTACTGCTTTGGTGATGAAGCAGTGTTCTCTCATGTCCTTGTAGCAGTGGCTGCATATGCCTATCTTGAAGAGTCAGCAGGAGTGTAGACTGGAATACAACATTTCTGTTGCTGTTGAGGTGGTCTAATAGAATTTTTTGAACAGGTGTTGAAGACTTACTTGAGGAATTTAGAGGATATATCAAAGGACCTGAATTTCCCCTAAAAAGGGGAAAAAAATCATCAATTTGAGTATTTCAACTTTTTGTTGAAAAAATTGTTTGGGGGGGAAAGGGATGGAAGAAAGATCATGTTTCTTTTTTAATTGATGTATTTGGGAGAGGGGGAAACAAACATACATAACTCTGCTTTTCAAACCACAAAAGCAGGGACAGAAAACAAGCTTTTGAGATCTTAACGAATATAAAACAATGTAAGCAAGAAGCTATGCAAATATTTTCACTTCTAATGTGTTCTTTGGATTTGATTTCTGAATCTTTGCCTACACTGTATGATGGGAGAGTTTGGAAACAAAAACATGGTGGATTTTTCTTGAGGTTAGAGTAAAGAGATACTAGTTATATGCAATTAAAAAAAACACCCCAAACCCTAAAAAACCCATAAACTAAAAAAGGACATAGTTGTATATGGTGGATTTTTCTTGAGGTTAGAGTAAAGAGATACTAGTTATATGCAATTAAAAAAAAACACCCCAAACCATAAAAAAACCAAAAACTAAAAAAGGACATAGTTGTACGAAACAAACATACATAACTCTGCTTTTCAAACCACAAAAGCAGGGACAGAAAACAAGCTTTTGAGGTCTTAATGAATATAAAACAATGTAAGCAAGAAACTATGCAAATATTTTCACTTCTGATGTGTTCTTTGGATTTGATTTCTGAATCTTTGCCTACACTGTATGATGGGAGAGTTTGGAAACAAAAACATGGTGGATTTTTCTTGAGGTTAGAGTAAAGAGATACTAGTTATATGCAATTAAAAAAAAACACCCCAAACCATAAAAAAACCAAAAACTAAAAAAGGACATAGTTGTACGTTTGATAATTTTACTGATGGTAGCATTCTGCCAGCATATTTGCAGTGTAACAAAATATAACATCATAACATAAAAAAAAAAGGATTCCTGAAGACTTACCCTTTGGGTCCTAATCATTGTCAAAGGATATCTATGCACTGCCACGTAAGATTTTAGTTTTTTTAGCGGCTTCAAATTTTGTGTTTATTAGGAAATTTGCTACTCCAGAGGATTCTTTAGAATGCATTTTTGTTAAAAGGAAAAAAGCAAGAATGGGTGACTGTGACAGTACCTTGTGTTAATTCAAAGGTTTTTATAGCCTGCAGTGAGTTGGGTCAGCATCTGAGCAAGCATTTAAACTGGTTTTATTCATTTTATTTCCCAGAGCAGCTTTTCAGTTCAATCAGCAAGCATGTCCAACTCCTCACATTGCAGCCTGTGAACATGGCTGTCTGTGAAAGGGGAAAGGATGCTCTCCCTGGGCAGTAGCAGAGCCCTTTATCAGCCCAATTCAGCTCTGACTCAACTGGTCTGCTCTTTTGACTTCAGTTGGCCACTTTTGGTTTTTTGTTTCTTTGTTTTGGGTTTTTTTTGGTTTGTTTTGTTTGTTGGCTGCCTAACCTTGAGCTGTTATTTGGTCAGATTATTTTTTCTTATTAAATGTGATAGAGTTTAGAATGAGTGAGCTCATGTGCTCTCTCCTGCACGTGTGGGTGCTGCCTCTCCTCCAGCCCTGCATGTGGCTCCCAGGTTAATGAGTAATAGCCTCGGAATGTTTGACATCAGGTGCTCTTGACCGCTGGCTTCAGCCTGTGTTTAGGTTAAAACAACTTTGATGTTTAATATTGGAGCAATAGTAAAGTGCAACCTTTATTTTTGGTTCATGAGCAACATCTAAAATCTTTTGGTTGCTTAAATAATAATTTGTTAACTCTTGCAGCCTTAGTCCTGTGGAAATATTTCAAGAAAAGCCTGCTAAGCTTTGCACTTCAACTGTGTGTCACTGTGAAGGTTGTTTGGTGTGCTGCCACAATATCAGCATTCCTATCTGTCATAGATTGGGACTACAGTTCTATGACAAGTTAAATTAATCCAAGTCAGCTGCTGTCTCCACCCCCTCCTGTCCTCTGATTAGTGATTCTTTGTGCTTGCACTCACCTGACCCTGAAGTGAGCTACTTCAGGGAGCTAAACCAAGGGATTAGGTTTCTTTGTATTGTTTAGATCCCTGAGCCAACCCTCCCAACAGACTGGACGTAGCAAGTGAAGGAGAAAGAATATTTGGTGATGTGAGAGCTGGTCAAGAGAGTTTCAGCTGGGATAAAAGTATCCTTATAAATCTGGTGAAGGGGCAAAATGCTTTCTGTGTGTTAGAGCAGACAGTGAGGGGACTGGTGAAACAGAAGTGGCTTGGCTTGGGATGACTCCTATTTCTGGGGTAGTTCATCCACTAGGGCTGATCCACAGTTGTCCAATTTGGTGTCCTGGTACTCAAGAGCTATGTACCCTGTGTTGTGCTGGGTGGGTCTGGTGCTTGGTCAGGACTCTTCCTGGAGTACAAACTGCTGGTTTAGCAGTGGAGGTGCACTCTGTGGAGCCTTTGGAGGAAGCTGTATGAGGGAGCTTAGAGCAGTGACTTGGAGCTTGGCTGTGATGTGCTCTTGAGTGTCTTTTGGGGACACCAGTTGCAGGTATGAGCTGGAGCCCCTGCATCCCTAGAGGCTGCACCTATGTTGCTGAAGTCACCCTCAAAACTGAGAACTACTTGACAGAATTATTTAAAAATGACCTGAACTGGAAGAATCACACCAGACTCACCCATGGTATAAATAAGGTGAAACAGGTATGATTAAGTGATATGTGAATGTTTTAAGTCCAAGCCCAAAATCTTACCTGGTATAACACATGCCTTTTTAAATGCTGGTGCCACCTCTAATCTCAGGTACTCACAAGTGGTTGGCTGAGTTTCTGCATCTGAATGACAGAAAGATCTGGAGATAATTAAATGAAAACTCTCAAGTTCTGATCAGAGTGATTAGATTGTAGCTCTGCACAGAAAAAAATATTTTTTGTTTTCTGTCCCTTTATGTAAGCAGGGGATCAGCATTCTCTAGTTCCCCTCTTTAAGGGGAGGGTTTCTGATATGTGACTGCTTTCTTGTGGTCAAAGGAACTTGCCCCACATCCAGACCTGTTTGTGAAAAAGTATTCCCTCAACAATAAACTAATATTCACTCTTTTAAGAGGAGGATAAAAGTAACTGCAAGAAATACATACGAATAATGCTCTTTGGGTGCTGGGTTTTTTGTTGTTTTTGTTAAAAGGTGATAAGTTCACACATCACAGTGTGTAAGTACTTTAAAGTTGTTTAGTAATCCAGATCTTTCCCTTTCTGTAATCCTGGAAATTTTAAGGATATCCTTTGCTGTTGCAACAGTGGCATTTTTTAAAATTGGACATATCCTTTCAACCCTTACTCCTGGCTGGACATTAAGGGTATTTCCTTGCCAAGAGCCCTGAGGTGGAGGAGGAGGGAGGCACTTGTGTAACTTAAACCCACTGGGATCTTATCCATAGGAGGTAGTGGTATTTTAAAGGTAGCTGTGTAGCTGATGCCTCTCCATACACTGGAGACTTGTGTTTCTTTGGGTCAAAGATTCTTACATTTTGTAAATGGCTTAATCTGAAATATTCCAGCCTGCTTTCCAGATGCTTCAGTCTGGAGGGGATGGAGCTACAAGCCAGCACTGTGCCCTAGCAACATCCTGGTCTGCATTAATGGGAGAGAGAGGGAAGTGTTTATCACCCTTTAGTTGTCACTCCTCAGTCTAAATTTGCTCCCTGCCCCTAAGTGCAGCAAAGGGACAGGCAAACTCAAGCAAACTCTGTGAAGGGCTCTCAGCTTGGTCAGGGCTGGAGTACTTGCCCTTGAGGGGAGGCTGAGGGACTGGGACTTCTTCAGCCTGGGAAAGAGATGGCTCCAGGGAGGTCCAACAGCCTCAGCTGGATCTGGAGCTGGATCCCAGCACCCACCATAGTGGGGAGCAGTTGTCAGGATGACAGAGTTGGGCTGTGCATGGTAGAAGCTGAAACAAGAGGTTCAGGCTGGGTAAAAGGAAACATTTTCTTACCCTGAGGACAGTCACACCAGGTGGATCAGGCTGCCCAGAGAGGTTGTGCACTGTCCTTGGAGGTTTTCCAGACCTGACAAGATAAAATCCTGAATAAGCTGGTCTGAGCTTACAGCTGAGCCTGTTCTGAGGAGGAGGTTGGTCTGAGACCTCTGAAGCTTCCTTTCAGCCTAGATGGTGGTCCTGAGTGGAGGCATTAGAACTCCTGGAAACTAGGAACTAGATGGAATTAAAATTTGCTGTAGTTGTTTAGGGTTTGAGTAGGAAAGTAGAGTAGAGAGTATATCTGACTGAACTATGGGACCTGGAGGTTAATTGCAAGAATCTGCAGAGCAAAAAAATAGTGAAGGGCAGGACTCTCTTGTATTTTTGCGTGTTTGTTTTGTTCTGGTGAGAGTGGGTTTTTTATTGTTGTTTTGGGGTTTTTTGAGTTTTTTTTCCTCAAGAAAAGTAGGATTTTGAATTTATAAAGTTGAAGCTATAGGCAAGACTCAGATTTTTTTTTTAGGTTTTGTAAATGAATGAAAAATTTGGTGTCTAAAAATAGGTTTAATTACCATGTATGATGTTAACACTGTCCTCAAACTTGCAAATACTTGCACTATTGTACTCAAAGAGCACAGTTACTGAAAGCTGGTGATCCAAATATTTATTTAAGCTTTTGATTGCAAAATTGCATTTGCTTCCTGTTGATGCTTTAATCGCTTACCCGATTTAACTTATCTTTTGTTGTAAATGAAATGTTACTTCAGTGTTTATTTATCACAGGAGAAAAAATGTTTTAAAGAAAAACAGTGCTTGCTCTTCTTTAACACAAAGAAAAACAACACATTTAACAAGTAAATTATATCTGTTAGGGCACTGGGACTTGATTCTGATTAAAAAGCCTCCTTAAATCTAATAAATGACAGAAATTAGGGTTTGGCACTCACAAAAGTATTCTTTACTGGCTGTTGTGTAGAACAAATCTTTGAAGGCATTTTTGCCAAAAAACCATGAGAAGGTTGTACAAATCATCAAGACTTTTCATCCCATGTGAGCTTTTAACTTGTTTTATAATAAATAGGATAACTCAACAAAGATATTTATCAAGCTTAATAAATAATGTTCCTTGCAGAACTATGGCCTTGAAACAGACAATATGAAGAACCTGGTTCTCAAGTTGCGAGGGTCATCCAATAATCTGCAAAACTACATCAGCACCCGTAGGAAAAGTTCAAATTATGATGGAAATACCTCTCGCAAGCCCCCCAATGAATTCCTTACTTCCGTTGTGGAGCTTATTGGTGCTGCTAAAGCCTTGCTTGCATGGTTGGACAGGTAAGAATGAAATGGTTGTATTTTAATTTGGTGCTCTAATTGCTTCTCTTTGTAGGGCCTTCCATAGATGCTTGGGTGTAAAGATCTTGAGGTCACTAATTACTTTTTTTGGTGTTGCTAGAAGACCTCTAGTGGATAAATTTAACCTAGGGTATCTATTCTTGCAGTTTCACTTTTGCTAAATGCAATAAAACTGTTAACGTTGCACTCAAACTGGTATTTATAAAAGTATGAGTGTTCCCTTTTAGGTCAGTTTCTCATACACATAGTTTTCCCAGTTTCTAAATTACTTGTCATTGGCAGATCCCTTCCTGAAAGACGTTTTTAATGTTCTGCTGAAATCATGGCCTTAGCTATGTGATTTGGAAACTGAGCAGTGGGAGAGATTATCCTTCTGCTGTTTCATTTTCTCTTTTTCTGTCTTTTTTGTCTGGAAAGAGCCAGAGTTATTTTGTTACAGCTGCAGCAGGTCAGGTGCTGGCAGGGATGCAGTCCATGATAAGAGATGAACATAAATTCTCAAAGCCCTTGTTAGCTTGTCTGAGAAGGAGAGTTAGGAGAACAACTGCACAGGGACTGGCAGCAAGGTGCACTTTTATCCTTTATCCTGCTCTCAAGTAAGGACTTGATCTGTGTCCAGGCAGCAATGTTAGCACTTTTTGCTTCTCACCTGGTCCTTTCCTCTCACTCTGTTGCTGGCAGATCACCCTAAATTTTTTTTCTGTAACTTAGTCATCAGAATTGTTGGTTTGTCCTTTTACAGACCTGCTGTGGTTATTTCTCAACGCCTCTTCTAGGTTTTGCAACTGTCTGAAAGGTCAGAAGTAGAACTCTTCACGTCCTAAAGCTGCCCTACCTGTATTGATTCTTCTCTAAGTCTCACTGCACCTCTGTGTGTAACATGTGAAAATCTATTTTTCTTCTTTTAGAGAACTGTTTTTTCCTTGTCCAGTCTGAAAGTTGGAGCTTCTCTCACTGGTAAACCCAAGGACAGGGCTAAAAAATTCCCAGTTTTGGTACAAGAGCGGAGCCAGGACTGTGCAGTCAGGAATATTTACATTGTAAAACTATCCTCACACCTGTCAGTGTCAGCATTGCAGCACTTACTCTCCTATGCTCTTCCTCACTGGTAAGGTGGGATGAGAGAACACTGGTCCCTCCAATCTAAGGGGAATTTTCTCTTGTTGTAGGACCCCATTTACAGGTATTGCTGACTTTTCATCAATGAAGAACAGAATCATTCAGCTCTGCTTGGACCTCACTACTACTGTTCAAAAGGTCAGCTGATTTCTTTTCCTCTCTGCTTTCCAAAAGGGAAGGAAAGGAGGTGTTGGGGAAGTAATGTGCTTGCTTTATGCTGAGTGCTAATGAAAGGCAGTTCTGGGAATGAGAGCTTACTTTTAACTTTGAATGTCCATGAAGATCAGTTTCAGTTGTCTGTGTTTATGAGTTGTGGGTTTTTTTTTGTTGTTCCCCCTGCCCTTCAATTTAATTATCAGTTTTGGTATTTCTGGCTGTGTCTTAAGGGACTGCAGCTTAAAGGCTACTCTTATTTTCTTGAGCTTTACTGGAAAGAGGGTTAGTCTGTGCAATAGTTGATTTGCGTTTGAAGATTTTCACATTCCAAGCAGCATGTTGGCAAACAGTTATCAGTGCTAACTCTAAAGAAAAATATGGTTCCATTGGTTTTTGCACCTATATTTGCAGACTCCATAGATCTTGTCCCATGCAGAATGTTTTAGCCATCAAATGGGAAATGCTGTGTGTAATGGAATACCTTTATGCGTGCAATCATACCTTTATGATACAGTTCCTACCAGCCAGACTGCTTCTGCCATTACTGCAAGACCAGAATATTTTCCAAAACTTTAATTACCAGCTGTATAATGAGTGCTTGTGTAAATAATAGCTAAAAGGATACGTAGCAGCCGTGGCAATCTTGGCAATTGACATAATTTTGCTCTCTGAATAATGCTGCCTGTTTTTGAGCCTGTTCTGAGAGCGTGGCACTGTTGTGGCTGTGAAGCACTTCAGTGACTGCCAAACTTGGTCATAAACAATATTGTGTGCCCATATAATGTTTGACCTGCCCTGTGACATGGGTGATTCCCTTCCTGTGCTGAAGGGATGATGTCAAAGGACAGAAACATCCCAAGTTGTCAAGCTGTGGTGCCACCCAATGATGTCAGTTGTCATTGGGAAAGGATGGTGTCTGGGTACCCCAAGGTGTGTATGCCTGATGCTCAGTGCCCTTCTAGCTGGGACACTCTGTGTGCAATTGCACAAACTCAGTGATTTACAGCTACAGATGTGCAGATTGTGCAGTGGAACAGTTCCTGTTTCTAGCAGCAGATGGTGTTCACCCAAGAGTGCTACTGGAACTGAGATAGGAAATTGCTGAATGTGTGAATAAAGCTGCTAAAAAGTGTGTCTAATCTTTCTGTTAGGTCAGCCTTTGGTGGGTGGGGAATGGAAGTTGGGAACAGCAGCCCTGGCCTTTTAAAAAATGCCAGACTACTTCTCTGCCAATTTGATATGAGCTATAATAAAATATGGGGCTGGTGCATATGAGAAAAACATTAATGGGGGAAGAACCAACCAACAAAGTTTTGTCCTGGGACAGGGCACATATGCTAGAATAGTCTGAAGGAGTCTCCTGATGTGGAAAAGAGATACAGTGGAAAAATATTTAGGAGGGTTTTTAGACTTCAAAATTATTTCTTATTAAGACACAGACTGCAGAAAGAAGTTCTAATGGGGAAGAGGCCAGAGTGGCTCTCGTGGAACCAATGCTGCTCTGCATAAATGATACATAAAAGCATATCATAATAAAGCAAGGCAGGAATGCAAAACGATTCTAATTACATTTGATGATAGCTAGATTGATTCAAGGACAGGATTTTACTCTACTTTAAGTTCAGGGCTGAAATAATAAACAGTGTAAACAGAAATGAGTGGGAGCAGAAAGACTTTGCAATATTGAGCATTTTGGCTGTGTGATGATAGGTGGCATTTGGTATTGATTTGTGCAGATGTATTTAGCAGAGAAAAGCAGGGGAAAGTCCTCCACAAACTTCTCCAACACGACTCCTTCTTAAGCCTATTAAAATGCTTGGGGGTTTTCTCCTTGTAGATATTGTAAATCTTGGTCTATTGTTTATGTGCTGTTTTAACTTTTTAATCTGAGAATAATACCATTCTCCAGTTCAGCACTTCTTGCAGACAGCAGTGATGACTTCTGTAGATTTTTACATGAACTTGTTTCAGTTCAAAGTCTTTTATACCTGGACTATATAAATAATGCCTTGTGTGCAGCCCTCTGCCCTTCAGGAATATCATTGATATTTTTTAAAAAATCACTTTCCCTTCTATTTTTAACAGTATACTTTAATCCATTTTGATGCCTGGGGCAGAGGAGTACCTGAGTTCGGGTTTATCAGTGTAAGCACACTTATCTGCCTGGCCTTCTGAGAGTCTGATTTAATTGTGCAAGGTTCTGCTTTTCTAGAAAAGTCAGCTGCTGTAATTGAATCCCACATTCTCTTAGTTTTCAAGGTTTATTATTGCTTTCTGCCAGGGCCAGAAAATAGTTACTTAATAGTCCTTTTGAGCCCTACTGAGTGAAACTAATCTGACTAATCCCTGCAGCATGAATAACTCTATTTCTATTTGAGGTTAAAAAGGAAGTTTTGCAGTTTTCAGACATGATTTGTTTCTATGTTTATTGGTTAATGTAGGGGTTTTGTTCTTGTTTTATTTTTAGGATTGCACTGTGGCTGACATGGAAGATAAAGTCCAGACTGTGGTAAGTTTATGTTTCTGTTGAAACTCAGCTGTCTGCGTTCACATTCATTTTGGTTGCTTCTGTGCTGACTGTATTGACAACAGCTTTTCAGTCCCAAATGCACAAGCACATTGTGCAACTAAACATTACTGTGACTTATTTTGTGAATGTTCTTTCCTGTAGAGGAAATCACTGAAATTTCAGCAGATGGATAGTGTGTGGTGGTAGCATGTAGTCAAGTGCTCCTTAAAGTTTCATTACACAGCAATATTTCCAAGAGAATTTAACCTCAAATTTTCAAGGGAGGACTAGTCCTGGAAAATGATCACAGACTAAATAAACCAATTATGCCTGTGAAGTGCATTTAGCACCTTAATAAGCAGAAGCTCTGCCTTATTATGCTTCTTATGTAAAAAAACTGCCCTGCCACAGAAATGAAGCTCTGGCTCTGTATTTGAGCTTGAGTTTCTAGGGCTGTTTGAAGCAGCCTTGTGACCAAATGCAGAGTGTAATGGAATGCTTTTTATATTTTGTAACAGTTAATCATCGCTTCCTGCTTTTGACATGAACCAGGCTGTGCTCTTTGATAAGGCCTTCCGGTAGCTCATAGATCCTTAGGAATTTAGTAGCACAATAACTAAAAATAATTTTGTTCATAAATATCGAGACCATGTAAAAGGGAGTTTTCTGCATCTTTCTTTTTCCATTTGTGCACACCCACACTGGAAGTAGGTATTGTTGTTTGGAATTCCCTTGTTTGAGCAGTTCCTCGCATTCACACTTAAACATAGTTTTGATTTATTTTATTGCTGCTCTAGAAATCTGACGTAAAATGAAACAGAAAACGTTGGAGCTATTGTTTCCAGGGACCATTGTAATCCAAACCAATGTCTTCCTATGACACAGCTCCCCTCATTCTGTAGTTATATGTGTCTACTTTGACTGAAGGACTCAAGCCCCTTGTGAAAGGTGACTTACCTTGCAGGTTCCCAAACTGTTTATAGCTACCTACTGTACTGTGTGCTAATCTTCTTTCCCCTCTCCTTCAAGATTTTGTAACCTACTTTGAGTGTCAGCCTTGCTTCAGTTGATGTAAAAGCAGAAAACACAGTGAGACATAATGCAATTTGTGTGTAGAGAGGGCACAGATTTTTTGACTGTTTTTTCCTTATTTTTTTCATGTTTAATTAGACATTCTGATAGTTACCTGTTCTGCAAGGCAAAGCCATTTTGCCTCCAACTTTACTGACACACATGCCAAAGTCATTTATTTATAATGTTGGTAATGTTGGCTTAGGATCAGTTATGTTTTGGTCAAAAGGAAATATGAACCTTGCCTCTGTAAGCATTCCAGAAGAGGTCAGTTCAGAGGCACAATGGAGAGAAGTACTGCAGAAGCACTTAAGTGCTGCATGGTCCTACCTTATACTGTAAGGTTTGTGCAGATATGTCAATGGACAGCACATCACTTTTTGTGACACATGGCCAGTTGTATTCTTGTAGCAGAAGTAGAGAACAACATGAAAAACTGTCAATTGTTCCCACAAGGAATCATCAAAATGCTTCAATATTTTAATGACTTCTATTTTGGTTAGAGCAAACAAGCCCCAAACCAAATTTTGTGTTATATTTTGTGTGCGTTTTTTTTCAGACAGAGGCTGTGTCAGCACCTGTTAGTGATGGTAAAGTGACACTAATGGAAACAGGTTGTTTCTTGTTACAATAAGGATGTAAATGTGCTGTAGAATAGATCTGTACAAATGAATCTTCAATTTCAGTGATTTTAGAATGAATTTCCATTGTATATTTTGAAAACTGAAAGAGGAAGAAGCCAGCAGAGAATTTTCCTAACCATTTTTTGTATGTTCTCATTGCAGGCCAAGACTTTAAATGGCATTTGTGATAAAGCCATCCGATCAACTACAGACCCACTGATGAGCCAGTGTGCCTGTCTGGAGGAGGTCCATTTAACCAACATTAAACCTGGGGAAGGCCTGGTAAGAAGCAATGCTGGAGTGTCCTGATTTTCCCAGTATTTAATAGGTAGCGTTGTGAGCCAATGCAAATATGTATTTATAATAAGGTGTTTTAAACCAGTAGTAACCTGTGGGGAAAAGAAAGAGGCACGAGAAGGAACCCTAAAGGTCAATTCTCAGGTGGTGTGCTGGAGTGGCTGCCAGGGGCAGATATGCACATTAATAGGCTTGATCCCAAATATAATTTCTGATTCTAAATTGTTGAAGGTTGTTATTCTAATATTGGGTTATTATTATTCTAATTGTTGAAGGTGTGTTAACCAGAATATTGGAGAATTGACAAGTGCTTGTGAAGCTAGTAGTTTTATTTTTTCAGGTTACCATAAACACTTTTTTTCTAGGGGGGCTGGGAGAGGGAGAAGGCAATGAGAAATGATGTTTGTGTTTTGAAAGATAATTTTTTATGTGTGTTTACAACAAGATAGAGATGAATGGGAGAATTTTGGAGGTTTGGTGTTGGCAGGAAAATGAGAATTTTTAAACTATTTGGTGGCTATGTCTTATTACTGACTCTTATTCATTCAATGGATTCTTCTTAGCTGAGTGCTGGTTATGAGAAACTTAATTTGAAATCTTGGTGGGTTTTCTGTCTAGGGAACAGATGTGTTAGAATGAGTTGGAGGGAATTTAAATTGCTACGTGCATTTGTATTTACTCCTAGCCCTGAAGGCAGGAGAAATTAACATTTTTAGAGAAAGCTGCACAGTCTTACTAGTTTTACCTAGACCAGTGGATTTGACTGAGTCAGTCATGCATTTTTGAAATTATGGGAACCTCTTTGTTAATGCATAAGCTACATTGAAGCAGAGTCAGTCTACCTTGGCCTGAATAAGAAAAAAGGAGGTGGGTGCAACCAACTGGATATACTGACAGGCAAACAGGCTGGGAATTGGCTAGAGAGGAAGGGTCAAAAAGATCACCTAATTTTCCACCTATTTTTAAAGTAAGTGTGGTAACTTCAGGCAGCTAAGCTGCTTTCAGCTCCTGAGTAACATCCAGTTCTGCGCTTCTCAGTGTGAGTGTTTCTAACAGCAGATGTAGAAAGGAAAAGTAGTTATGCATTTGTTCATAAATTATGAAATCAATTTGCTGGTCATCTCTTGTGGGAAATCTATGTAATTATTAGTTAATAGTCTGTTCATGATTTTTAATTTGGTGGGCTTATAGTCAACACCCACTTCATCAAGTTTGTCCTTGTGTTCACACTCAGCATTAGCATACAGAGCCACAAATACTCTGTTGGAACTTTAGTGCTTAGGAAGCATTGTGGTTATGAGGCTGGCTGTGTATCGACTTACCAAGAGAAGCTGTAAAAGAACATGTCAGCAATTCTTGTGGACCACCTGTGTGGGTCTGCTCTGTTTGGAGAGAACTTGTGGCCACCTGGTAAAACCTGTAATTCTCTAATGCAGGCTGGATAGTAAATAAAAAAAGTTCTGTTCAAGGCCAAAGTCTGACAAGTCAGAAAAATCAGCAGTGTTTGTTATTACCAACCAGAGAGTGTTTCTAAGTCTTATTCCATGCACTAGGTGTTTTAAGTCATTATAAATATTATAATAAATTACACTAAAAGTGATCTGTGAAGAAGTTTAGAGTGTTGTAATATTAGACTACACACTTTTTTTAGGGAGAATATACAAATTGTTAACTGGTTTTAACTATGTTTTGAGTCTGCTGCCAACAGTGTTTTAATCAGATAAGTTATGTGGTTTGTTTTGCCTTTAAACTTGTTTTTCATTTTTTCCTTATATTTAGGGAATGTACATCAAATCCACTTATGATGGATTGCATGTAATTACTGGAACTACAGAAAACGTAAGTGAAGCAAATGTATATTCTCTCAGACAGCAGCTTTGGTTGAGTTAGTTTGAATTACTACTTTTTGTTGTTTCAGACATGACTTGCATGGCATTACTGCTTTAAGTACTGCATGGTCCACCATTTGTTTATCCACAGTTTGTAAATATTTTGTGCCTGCATGTTTCACTGTTAGCCTGATTAAACCAGTTTCTGCAAGTACACAAATTAGTTCAAATGCTTGGCATTAATTGCTTTAATAAGTTACTGTATCTGCTGTTCTGAGCTCTTATGGTATCTTGCTTAACAAAGTCTTGGATGTATTTGCTCTCCACTGGCAAAGGCAATCTCCCTTAATGGGAGCATTTAAGTGGTACTGTGTTAAATTCAGTAATGAGTCATGAAATCAATGAGCTGTCCCATGACAAAATTACCTTGCAGAGTAAAACAACTATGAATGAGTAAGACTTTAAGAGTGGTCAGCTGGAAGGAAGTAGCTGGCAAGAGAGGCAGCTAGTTTTTTACTGCAGGTGGTTGCTTGTTTTATTTGTACACTGAGTCCTTTGCAACTGAGAGTTTATTGAAGACTTCTGGGCAGCCCTTGAAGGAGTAGATCACTAGCCAGCAGCCAAGGCTGGCAGATGATGCTGTGATGTTTTCAAACAGGCCACTACTGTCCAGGAGCAGTGACTGAAAGAAAAAAAAGAGCAGAGAAACTTGGCTTTTGCAGCAATACTTCTTTTTTTTTTTTTTTTGTGACTAGGAAAGAACCAGTGGTTCTAATTGTTCCCCTGCCAGGTCCAGGGACCAGGCAGGAGAGTGTGGAAATCTATGCTTGCAGAGTGTAAGATTCTATAGCTTTGATACTAGTGTCCTGGCATAACTCTGTATAGGATCTGCCACAGAGACCATGTCCACATCTGCAGCAATTTTAACACCTGATAAATGCAGAAGAATGTAATGTTGACTGCTGACAAGCTGCTTCTGCATGTAGGTCATATTTTGGGGCTGTATTCCTTCTGTAGCTTTGACTGTTGACCTAAGGTCTGCTTTTTGTTATCAACACTGGTTCTTCCTTTGGAGGAACTCCTTTCTTTGGAGCAACAGAACTTGACAAGCAACTGAGAGATCTGCAAGCAACTGATGGCTTTATGGTTGTGTGATATCACTTAGATGACCCAGGCTGGATCTTAGCTCAATTTTCTTGCTAGATTTGGAATGAGATTTTAGTAGCTATCCCCAGGAGCTGATGTATGGGGATGCAATGGAATTGCATCCCTGAATTGACAGTACTGAACAATGGAAGAACTGGGGAAGTCCATTTGGTATGGGTCAGCCAAGAGGATCCCTGAGTTATGCCATCCTACGTGAAACTTTGCACGTCGTGTCCACCTCCAGCTAAACTCTGCTCTTTCCTCTGCTCTCACAATGGGATCCCAGTGCTGTGACCTGTCACTTGCTGCAGGAGTTCTCTGTGCAAGGGTTCCCCACCCTCCCTCAGATGAGCTGTTGGTCACCCAAAGGACAGCTTGAAGTGAACTTTGTTTTTCACAAACTTGACTCTGGCCCAGCATTTTTTCATGATCTTGGTTGACTCCTATATATGCAGCTTTCCACAGAGGCATTTCCTCTCAGAGGAAGCAAGAAGACAATGCAGAAATGGGATTACTCATGATAGCTGAAGCCTTCCACAAATTACCCATGTTTTTTTCCTTTGTTGCACTGTTTATTCTCACAGTTCTTTCTCACAACAAAGTTACACGAGGTCTAAAGGTGTGATGAGGTGGAGAAGGGTGTCCTTAATCCAAGTGCTTAATTCTGGAGTCGCTAGGAAGAGCTGGCCTGCTGCCTGGTGGTTACTCATGGGGTGGAGGGAATGGGAGGAGTTGCTGTCCTGTGACCAGGTGCAGCATGTACCAAGGTAGCAGGTCTGTGTGCTTTGGGTGTTGTCAAGGCTGGTAGGAGCTGGTGTTTTACAGCAGTGAGAGTTTTTTTAATAACTGCAGCAAAGGCTGGTGCATTGCACCAGCTGTTGATAAATCTAAATATTGACACACTTATCTGTTTCTTGCTAACGGCTCTCCAGAGCTTAGGTTTTGTTCCAAGAAAATTGTATTTTAAAGTGTATTATTATTAGATAGGTATTTGAAAAATACCTGTCTGTGCAAGTATTTTTATCTGCTGACTTTGGCGATTCAGACAGGCAGTTTCACATTAAAGTCAGGAGCTTTTATTTACATTGGAAAACAAAAAGGGTAAGTGCAAAGGATCTATCTTGGAGGGGTTTTGATCCTTTGTTCTGTACATTCAAATTCTTAAAGTATTTTTTAACATAAATACACATTTGTTTAAAAGTTGTGCAAGATGATTGTTGTGTTAGGGCAGAAATCCTCCTCAGGATTTCCTTGCCTCTTCCATTACTGTCTAAACCTATAGTACAAACTGGAGAGAAAAGGAGAGTGGAGACTGTCCCATGACTTAAGTACAATTTGTTGTTTAACAGATGGAGTCTATGCCTTCTCTCTTCCTGTTTAGTTCCCCCAGCATAAAAATAAATAATTTTATTAATTCATTTACATTTCTCAAGTCATCAGCAGAGGTGAAAATTATGTATAGTGAAGAGCATTGCTGATGCAATCTTTGACTTAGATTGGTGGGAGTTGTTATGGGACAGAGGGAGACATGATGCAGCACATGACTTTTGTTTTCCTCTTTGTAGTCCCCTGCTGATCGCTCCCAGAAGATTCACGCTGGTGATGAAGTGATCCAGGTTAACCGGCAAACTGTGGTGAGTAACTTCCCTTATGCTTGCTCTGCACCACAGGGGCTGAATGGATGGGGTCAGGAGGCAGTTCTGATGTTTGAGGCTTTTTAGCATTTTATTTTCAAGACAAATTTTATTCTTTGCGATATTTTGATAAATATACAGTATTTCTTGTTTAAATGCTTTATGCATCTTATTAAAATAGTTCATGTTGCATTTAAGACCTGTTTAAAATGTCTCGTTACATTCCACTGAAATGCAGATAACGAGCTTTAAAATGCCCCCCAGTAATTTGCAATGATTGTCCAGTCATTTTTATCTGTGAACCTGGAGGTAATAATTGCATTTTTGCTTAGCATGTTAGCAATGCCTTTCAATATGAGAAAGAAACATGACAAAAGTAGTTCACTGTGAATCCCTATGTTAGTCAATTTGAGCATATCCTTCTGTCCTGAGTGTCCTTCTAGGACTGGAACTGAGGTATAAAGAGCACTGCTTGATATCTTAGTATTTAGTTTAGAGCTTAAGTAGAGAACTTGGAAAGAAAATGAAGTACCTTGCAAAAAAAGAGCTTTACTTTTTTTTTAATTTTTAAGATGGCTTTTTTGGATCCTTTATCTCTTCTAAATCCTCCTTTATGTCAAAACAAGCTGTCTGACTTTGGAGATTTGGGCTTTTCTTGTTTGTTTGCTTTCAGAAAAGAAATGCTGAATAAAGGATGCCTTTCTTCTCTTCCAGGTTGGATGGCAGCTAAAAAATCTGGTGGCAAAGTTGCGAGAGAATCCTGCTGGAGTTAGGCTGCTGCTTAAGAAACGTCCTACTGGCTCTTTCCATTTCACTCCTGCTCCACTGAAGAACCTGCGCTGGAAACCACCCTTGGTGCAGGTGAGAGCCTGCCAGTTCCACTCTCATCTCGGGATGGGAATGCCTTGGTTGCAGCTGGAAAAAAGAAAAATACCATAAATGCCCCAAAGTACTCATGTTTGAGTGTACGACAAGGCAGGTTAGCTGAAATGGCTGTCCTCCTATGGTTTCTAGATAAAAGGGAAAATGTTCTTTTCTTTTTCTTTATTTTTTTTCTTTTTCCTTGCTACCAGATAATGCCCTCTTGGTACACAAAGGGACTAGGTGTGCTGCATATTTTAATCAGTCTGTATGCCACTGGGAGAACTTATCTGAGGCAAAACTGCTGATATGTATGGAATTCATCAGCATGGAGCAATAAATAAATGCTTTCTCTGTTTATCAAAGTAATATCTTTTTGCTGAAATAGCTTAAGACTATTCCATATATTTGTCCTCTTTTTGTCTAGTGAAGGGCGAGAAAGAGTGGTTTTTTTCAAAAAATTATTTAAACAACTTGTTAAAATAAGATTTGGTTGTTGGGCAATTCACAGGTTGGGTACTGAGCAGACAGAGAAAGTGATGTTAAGTAATTCTTAAATAACCATGTTGAGGAATGGCATGTTGCATTAGGAAACTTGGAGCTTAGTGCTTGCAGGAGTGAGCAACCTAACTGAATTTAAACTACTTATCTGAAATTATTAAAAGCAGGGAGAGTTCCCCCTCCTTCTCCTCCTGTTGTGATACAAGTCTCCCTACAGCTGTGGGGATGATTTCAACCTGTGAAATGCTTGTGGCTGTCACAAGTCTCCACGAAGGCAGATTTCTCTCAAAATGGGTAGAAGATGTATACTTAACTACATGTTCATCCTTCCTTTCACCAATGCACGTGCCCCGTTTTTGTGGCATCGTGCCTGACATGTGCTACCAGTGTGAAGAGCTGAGGTGGGCTGGCTTATAGGCTGTGCCCAGCAGTGTTTCCTTAGTGGGTGGGAGTGATTGGAGAAGAAAGGTCTTTGAAACCTTTTCTCTCCTGTAGGCAGACAGGAACATGGCGAGATGCTGAGAATATATAGAAGTGAGGCACAGAGATGAGCAATGCCAAATCTATTTTTAATTTGTTTCCCTGGCCCATTGATCCAATCTATGGTGAACTTTACTATATTCCTGTCTTGCCCCAGGCATTGGAGTGTGTGGAATAAAGGTAGCATATGCCAGCTTCACAAGGCGTGTTAATCATATCTGTATTAAACAAGTTGCATTATTTTGATGCATCTAAATATAAAAGAGGGGGTTTTGTCTCAGTTGCTTTTTTTGTCTGTGGAATTTACATGAAAAATAGAACTGGAAAGAGCAAAGTATTCTTGAGCAATGCATTACCCATGATAGGACTTCTGTGGGAGGCCCTGTAAAGCCAGCCAAGACTAGGGGTGGAGGAAAATGTGGACTCTTAAGAGTTTATGGTAGTTCACTAGGGGATGAAAATGGTGCTATTGGTTATTAAATTATCTTTTTGTAAATGATAAATGAATGCTCAGATGTTTGATAGCTGTTTAACATTTCAGACCAGTCCCTCACCAGCTTCAACCCAGTCACCAGAAAGCACTGTGGATACCTCGCTGAAGAAGGAGAAGCCAGCCATTTTGGACCTGTACATCCCCCCTCCACCAGCTGTTCCGTATTCTCCTCGGTATGCAAACAAACCTGCACCTCTCAACAGAAACCTCCTTCACTGCACTTGTTCCTGAGCTGGCTTGCTGTTAGAGCTCTGTGCGGATTAGCTTGAGGAAGCTGCAAATCTCAAACTTGCTTCTAGCTGCCTAAATGAGTTGGATTGCTTGAACTCATGCTTAAATGTGTATACTACCAGGATTGCAGCAGATTTTATTACTGGAAGATTGTGTGCCACAGGGAGCAGAGTTGTTCCCAGAACATCACACCAATGTCATCTCTGGTTTTGTTGTGGAGCTATGTTTCTGACACTGTTTAAATCCAACTGCACACAGCAAGAAGTAATTTTTATCCCTAACATTTTTTCACTGTTGGATTTTTTCTTTTTTAGCAAGTTGAGTAACTGTTGTGGGAGTTAGGATAGAAAAGAATGTCAAGTTAAATGATGCCTATCACGTTAAATTTTTAAACTTGCAAGTTGTTTAAAACAAATATGTTCCCACTGAAGGGAAGGGAGAGGCAATACATCAACTCCTCTTTTTTTATCCTGTGGTGTAAGCTATAAAAGTGCATACCTGTATACACAGCGGGAGGGGAGTTGTGTATATGGTAAGGCTGGCTGTTGTTTCTTCTCAAGTCCATGTTGACTCATGCCAGAACCCTGCCAGATGATCTGGGAATGTGATGGGAAAACGTGTTTCCAGGCAAGATGTGAAAGGCAGGCATGCTTCCTGGCCTTCCCTAGCCTTAGGTTACATGTAGGCAGCCCAGCACAGAAACTGTGACCTTTTGCTGCAGGCCTTGTGGCAGGGCACTTGACTCCTGCTGTGTAAGGGCTGATACAGAGACAGAGGTGCTATTACTGCAGTTTTTGGGGCAGGACCAGGGTGGGGGGCTTGGGGGGGGGGGTTTGCTTAGATAGGGTCTCTTCACTAAAGTTGGACCCACCTTGACCTGTGCTTGCCTTGCTTTTATGGTTACATATGCTCTTCTTACTAAAAAACCCTCAAATCTTTAAATCTTTTGGCACAATGACAAGCATATAGATTTAGCAGATGAATGCCTTAGTTGTTTCTTCAAATCATTAAGTATCTCAAACATGTTGGTGAATTATGTCCATGTGCTCAATTTGTTTATCTTTCCTAAAGAATCACAAAATTATATCGAGCTTCAAATGCCTTTAGACCTGAATCCCTGTTGAAAAGGATGGAAATCACAATACGAGATGTAAAACTCATCCTGGATGATAGGTGGAAAGGGAAAGGCATCTTGACTTTGACTTTTAAAGAAAGCAAATGTGAGAAGCTATGGCAGGAGGAAGAGGAGAAAGGATAGTTCTTTTGCCTTCAGTTTGGTCATTTATTTTGACCTCTGCATGTTTTGCTTTTCTCTTGAAATTGTGATGCATTTGTGTGGTTGCTTTTTTCTCCCTCCCTCATCATCCTGTTCTCTTCCCTTCTTGGCATGAATCTCCTCTGCTCCTCTGACTGTGAGTCAGAGGGCAGTGTTTGGTTTCCCTCCCCATGGCACAGTCTCCACATGGTGGTGGTGTAGGAGAGCTCTCCATGTACATACATTTCTGGTGTAACACTTGAGTGCAGTTTTTGGTCTTTCCATCTCCATAAATAGCTCCTTCCTATTCAGTGAGCTTTAGCATTGTTCTTGCTGGAGAGCTGGACAAGTGGGATGTGCTGTCCAGGGACTGCTATGAACACTGGGGTATATGTGTGCTTAGGTGGTCAGGTATGCCTGACTTGGCTAGTGGTTGCTTCAAGCAGTAAGATTGTAACATGTAGGAAGGGGAAAAACCTCCAGGCAAATCTTAACTTGAAGGATAGCTTCTCTTCCAAAAGTACTTGCAGAATTTACTCAAAATAATCTATGTGTGTGTGAGTGTGTATATATATATATATATATATATAGACACACACACACACACTATGAATCTGTTACTGGAACTCTCAAGGAGGGAGAGAGAAGGTGGTAAATATTCAGTGACAGGTATTGGGCTCCTATAATGACTGAAAGGCAGAAACCTTCAGATGGAGGTAATAGGTGTTACCATTACCCATACAGAGATGGATAAATTCATGTAGCACTCCTGAGTCACAGATATGTACTTGAGCAGGCAGTGAGTCAGGGCCTTTGATGCCCTCAGGACAGAACAATCTCATTTATCAAAATCTTTTGCAGGAATGGAGCCTCTAAATTTCTCAGTGTGTTAAATTACTGGCTTGTTAAGAGTGAATTAGCATGAGGAGGGTAGCTTTCTTTTCTCCTTGTTAAATATAATGAAGTCTTCTATCACCTGACTTTCTTGGGGGTTTCTTCCAGCTTGTTTGCAGCACAATGCCAGTTGTCACGAGCATGACTTGCTGCTAGAAGCATCTTTCAAACCTATTAATGTCTGTAGCTTTAAACTCTTTCAAGCCTTTAACTGCAGTGACATGTCCTTTCAGAGATGAAAAGGGGAGCTTTGTGTATGGAGGAGGCAGCAAACGCAGTCAGCCACTACCGGGGTCCAAGGGCGCCGAGTCTCCCAACTCTTTTTTGGATCAGGAGAGCCGAAGGCGGAGGTTCACTATTGCTGATTCAGATCAGCTGCCTGGGTATCCCATGGAAGTAAACGTCCTACCAGCCAAGATGAGAGAAAAAACACAGTCCTACGGTGAGTTCATTCCTCTCTTTTTATCACTGTTCAATCAGTCTGAAATGATTTGTCTTAGAAAACTGCCTGTTAGACTTGATTGATGTTAAGGCTATTGGTACAAATTGTGAATCTGAAATTCTACATCTGAAATAATTTCTCTTAAACGGGTTATTTCTGTAATGAATGTCATTCAGCTGGGGTCTGCTGCTACAGAACACCATTTCCACATGTATTGTGGTTATAACATTATGTCCCCTCCTGCTCTAAATGAGCAAGAGAGCAGCTGTTTAATCTCAGCACACTGATTTCTTATATGTCACCAGTGGAATTACCTTCAGATATTCTTTTTTCTGCAATTTGAACTCCTTATTGCTTATCTCTTCCTTTGTTTAACTGAGAAAAGCAAAAATTTAAAAATTTGTTCCCTCAACTTTATGTAACTCCTCATAACCTTCTATGTTGTCTCTAGGAAAACCTCGTCCTTTGTCAATGCCTGCTGATGGAAGCTGGATAGGAGCTGCAGAACCCTTCTCTAGGCCACGAGGATCAGGGAGAAAAGGCAAGGTTTTAGGTTTTATCCTTCACTCTCTTCCTCTCCAAAATTTTCTTGGGGTGAACTACATAAAAGTGTTTAAATTAGGAATGGAGGATTATAGTTTGCATATTGCTGAACTGATGCAAGGTGACCATTGTTGGGTTTAGCAGAAATGCCAGATGGTAAATTAAATTTCTGAAGCTATTCAGTGATGGGACTCAAATGTTCTGCCTTAGACTTGTAGTGAGCATTAAAAGTTAGCTACAATGACTAGGGCAGATCTGTACTTGTGATTTTATAGCACAGGTTACCATTTTGCTCCTGCACACAGCCTTTTCCCTTTCTACAGCATTTAATATTGATCATGAAACTACTTTTGTGCTAAGTCTTTTTGTTTAACTCACTCTGGAGGCTGTTGAAGAAGCAAGCTTGTTCACAAAATGTGAAATGTAGGGCCTTTTAACAGCTTTTACTGCTGTTAGAAAGGAACATATTCTGCAGGCATCACTGAATGGGAGAGAGACAGAAACTCATAACATTTTGTGTTCAGTTGGATGACTTTTTTACTTCCTACACAGTCCTCTTCCCACCCTCTTTTGCATCTGAAAGACTTTTAGTCCTGTTGGAGTGGGAAATGGGGATGACTAGTTTATTCTTGGAATCAGTTATGAAAGCTAATGTCTAATTCTAGGTAAAATCCAAGCTAGATTCTATTATTTTCATATAAAAGTAGAAGTTGATAACGAGAAGCATCAACCTGGAGGGATACTAACAGAGCGATCACCAGGTGGCAGGGCTGGTTTTTGTGTGTATGGTTTTACCTTTGGTTTTGCGTTGCCTTTTTTAATGCTTGAAATGTACCTAAGTGCTGCAGGCTTGTATTTAAGCTGTGTTGGATCAGAACTAAAGGCTTGCCTAGTCTAGCAGATTTCTTCAGCAGCAGCTGCCTTGGTCAGGTGTCTGGGGAAGAGTTAAAACAGAGAGAGCATCATGAATCACTGGTCAAAACCAGGGAGGGAAGTGCTTACATCTTCACCTGCAAAATTAATTTCTCTTGTCCAAAGTAATATTAGTAGCTTTTAAATTACTCATGAGTTATACTGAGAAGTTTAACATGGATTCAACTCTGGTCTCTTCAGCATTTTGAATAACACATTAGAAGAAATTTGTTACATATCACCTATGATAATGATTTGCATGAAGGTAGTCCGTATCATCATTTTTGGTGTGTGTGAATCTGGAATATAACAGTCAAATGTTATGTCCTCTGATTATGGATTTATTTCATTATTGTGTTACTTAAAAAACATTAAAGATGCAAAAAGCTATGAATTTACTGATAGTTGCTTATATCCAGGTGTTTTATGAACAAAACCTCAGATTTAGGTTTTTGACGTGTAACCAGAATACTTTTATAAAAATAGCAAATGTCAGTGGAGGGTTTTGAAGTCAGCAATAATTGGTTTTCCCCTTCCTGTTTGTGCAGGTGAAGATGTCCTCTGCAGGTACTTCAGCAATGAAAGGATACCCCCGATCATTGAGGAAAGCCCCTCCACGCAGCACCCGCTCTGCAGACCAGTGTCTGACAAGCAGTTAGTGAGGGGAACGGATTATATTCGAGGCAGCAGGTGTTTTATGAATACAGACCTCCACAACAGTGCAACGATTCCTTTTCAAGAGGAAGGTGCTAAAAAATCATCGGTTACATCATCCACAAAATCCTCCTCAGCGGAGCCCTCGCTGCTGGTCAATTGGTTCACGAGACTGAAATTGTTGACTCACTGACTCGTCCCCAGCGCTGTTACCAAGTGCCTTTGCTCGTCGGTCAGAATTCTCTACTTTGCAGCTTAACTGACACACAGAGACTAATGCAGTATTCTTTTCCTGGAGAATCTCACACTTTAGCCTTTTTGTTTGTCATTTTTGATGGATCAGAGGGTTTCATAGTGCAAGGAGGGAAGAAAGATTAAGCTCCTCTTCCTGGCCAAAAACTAAAGGCTATTATTCCCATGGAAATGAGTAAAATTTCAGTGAGGTAGAGGCCACACGTGACCTGGAAAATGCCTGGTGACTCAGAGGAAAACATTGCATTACTGTGAAGCCCAGTGGCACTTTAGTTGTCTGAATGCTCAGAGGCTGGTGCAACTGGCAGGGCGTCAGAGTATGAAGAGCTCACAGAAGTTGTCACTCTCCTGGCTGGGAAAATAAGCAGGGAAACAGCAGTTTCATGCAACTTGGTGATGCTGTTTCACGTACTGCATGAGATCAACCTTGGGAGGAAGAAGTGGTGGTATTACCATTCTTTCTCTGATATCCAGAGTTCCTGTGAAGTCTTAGGAAGAGAGTTCTCTTATTCAGAGATTTTAGGAAGTTGGACTAATTTAATTATAAATCAATCCAAGCTTATATATATAATCTATTTTATTTGAAATCACAGTACAAATAAGGAGCACTGAACAACTGCGGTGCTCATCTGTAAGGGTATATGGATTGCTACAACAAGCCAAGGAAATGCATCTCTAGAGGTGGTGAAAGAATATATATTTTTTCCTTAATTGTTTAAGAATGACTTGCTGTTAACCAAAGTAACCTTTAAAGACAGTCCTGTTGGATTTATGAGAACTTTTACAGTGGTTCAGTTTTTGAATGATGTGTTGTTTTTATGAAAAATATGTGCTATTACACACTACAATTGTAAGACATCTTGCTATTTTCTATATAGCTCTAATTTTTAGCCCTCCAGAATTTTAAAGTAGCATTGGGTATTTTGGGAGGAAAATAAAACTTGTTTAACAAAAGAGGAGGACATTAAAGAGGTATTGTTTAAGAAGGAATGTACATAAGATTGTTAGTATGCAAACAGTTGTGTTTAAAGTTATTTAAATGTTAAATATAGTTGTATATATTTTTACATTTAAACAGATAGTTTGTACCTTCCTGTATTGATGTATTGGGCACAGCTTAGTCAAATGAAAAGAAAATAAGATTTTGTATTACCTTATAATTATAAGACTAACTATTTTTGTAGATGAGACGTTGCCAGCAGCCTCTTCTCCTTTGGCCTTGCTGAAAAGAAGGATTTGTATTTAATGAGTGGTGGGGAAAGAGAGGGAAGTTAAATGCTAGTTTGCACTTAGGACTGGGGCAGGAATCGCATGTGATAGCAGGATGTTAAAAACACACTGTAATTCTGTCTGTGAAGATGTCACCATTCTGCTGCAACGAGCTGATGAAGTTGTGTGCTACCGCCCCGCAGAGAGAGACAGGGTGTTTCATTCACTTCTCAATTAATTATGTTTGATTGTGACTCATTGATGACTGGGTTGGCTGGTTTGGACCTTTCTGATCAAAGCAGATATGTCTGTCTTCTGCCACTCTCCTCCGCTCCCCGAGATGGCAGTCTGTACTAGACATGAACTGCTCCTGTGCAGCTGAACCCTGCAACAGTTTGGTCTTGCCTCCAAGAAGAGGGCTGAGACTGCCATGTTGTAGGCTCTGTGCTGTAGTATAGTCCAGCCTCAAAAGGCTGAACTGTTCTAAAGCTGTTGTCCAAACAAGACTTTTAAAATGGCAATTCTGCTCATCTTCAATGTTGTGTTTACTTTAAAAATGAAAGGGGGCCATCATGCTTAATCTCTTGTTGTGTATAGTGAATGTAGAGGATGCTCTACAGTTTAGGGGTAAAAAAAAGTCCCACAGATCTAGGCATAAATCACAGCTGATACCCTTCTTGCTTAACCTGCAAAAAATTCTGCTATTATGCAAAAACTTCGCTCATCTCTTGATGTTGAAGGTATGTGTATCTATCAGATCAAGAACTGTATCTAGGCTGACTTCCCTAATGAGTACCACCTAATGTACATTTCCAGATATCCTGCCATGGTACAGTACTCCACAATATTTTAAATACACTCTCATGGTGGGAAAACAAAAAATGCAGTTAATTGGAAAAGATCATAAAACCCACAAAATGGAAAAATAATATTTAGTACTGTTGCATATATGTATAGTAGGGATCATGCACTTTTGAAATACTGAGCAGGCTTCTGTTGAAGTCCGTAGAATACGTGAAAGCCAATACCTTTGGTTTCTCTTACATAACCATTGCAAAAAAAAAAGTCCTATTTTGGATGGTAATGTGTGAAAGGAAATAAGACATAAAAATGAACACTAACAGCTTGTAGAGACAGAGTGCAGGGCAATTCTCCAAGCCATGTGTTTCCTCTAGTATAATGGACAATTAATCAGTGTTTGAATTCTGGATGACCAACAGAGGTGAACACAGTACTGAGAGTATTATACTAATTTTGTGCTAATCAATGAGCCAATAACTTTTCCTTCCTCATAAGCAGGGCTTGTTTTACCAGTAACATGCACCATAGTCTTGGTGCTTGTTGAACAGAAAGGAGAGTGAGTAAGAATTCAAAACTTAACCAAACCAAGAAACAGATGGTAAAGACTAGTTTTAGAGTTGGAGAGGATAAAGAATTTTCTTCTTGCATAAATGTTTCTTTAGTCCAAATTTTGCATCCTGTCTTATTACACTGCCACCAGGCAGTCTTTACAAACTGCTCTGTATCTGCAATCACATCCTGAACAGACCAAGTTAAACCCCTCATCAGGCTTTAACTTAGATCTTGATGAATTCAGCACAAACCCTTTTCTGCAGGTTTTACTTCCCTAGGAGCTTTTCTGCATTCATCATTCAATTTTTGGAATATCTTACACATGAGCAGAAAGGCTTTCGTGTTCATGCATTCTCAGAAATGCCTTTGCCAGCAGGATTGAGGAGTGAGTGTGAATGTTGGCTTCTGCTTGAGTTTTCTGCACTAAAATATTCATTCCCTGATTTCCACCATACATCCTAGTGCACCATCTCAAAGCATGAGATAGAAATGCTCATGGGCAATTGCAAAAAAGTGTTGTGACCTTTGAAGTAACCTTTGTCTTGCTGTACAACTGTGTCTTCTTTCTTCGCTGTAGCCTGAGCTTTACTTTGCACATGCTGTGGTTATTCACGTGCTCTTTGTTGCTGTCACATAGGAATGCTTTTGTCTCCTTGCAGGCTGTAAGGTTTTTATAATGGACAAGAGCTCTTGAGGAAGCGACTGACTTAACTCAGCATATTCTGTGATTCACTTAAAATGTAGAAAGAGCACTCCAAATATCTCAGTTTGGAGAATGAAAAAAGAGGGGTCAGGCTAAGCTAAATGTGTGGGTCTGTGTTGTGTCGAATGCAGCTTCATCTGAGTGGCAGCAACTCTGCAAAGAAAGCACCCCACACAACTGCAGCATGCACATTTGTTTCTACTGCTACATTTGTATGAAGCTAGAATATGAAACAAGGGCAGTCTTTCAAAGCAGTTAAATATAGTTCCACACACCACATTGGAGCTGTAAGATATATTGACAAAAGCAGTCAAGAGCTGCTGTCAGTGTGTAATTTCACCAAATTCTACTGCCTGTGCTTCTGCTGCATCAGTTTAAAATAGTAACCTCTCTTTATCCTGTTGCCTGCACAGTGCAAGTTCCTAACCATAATTTTGTCTTCCTTTGTGATAGCAACTGCTGGTAAGATTGTGTCATTCCCACAAGGCCTCGTGCAGTGGTCCAAAAGGTTAGTTAGTTTGGGTTATTCTGGACTTTGTCCAAAAGTGGAAAGTCAAATTTAAAAACAATGTTACTGCACCAACAACACTTAGAGTTGGGATTTTTTTTTAATACATACTGGATATGAAACAGGCAGGAGTTGTCTGTTGCACATATTTTGCCAGTGGAAGAAAAAATTAGGATTACATATTCAATGGAGGAAAAAACCCCAGACCTTTGGGTGTCCTCCAGTTCCTGCCAGTGGGAGAAATGTGTTTGTTTTAGCATGACATAGAATAGATGTAAACATTTTTTTAAACCTCTCTGTGTGGTCACCTCACTTATTCATGATGATGTAAGCCACTTTCTCCCTTAAGAGGTTATGGAGTTATCCAATATGTTTTTTTTTGGGAGAGGGTAAAGATATCTTAGACAATTATATGATTGATTAACAGAGTATGGAGGCAGAGTAATTAGGCATAAAATAAGTGCCAGAGAGTGCAGAGTTATAGGGAAAATCCGTGGGGTCAATTTATGATTGTGGTTTCTGTTTGCTCTCTGAGGTGAGGGTGAATGTTCTCTATGCCAGACAGCAGCCAAGGAGTCGGAGAACAAGAATTCCTGTTTACTGTGCCATCTTCAGCTGAGAGGGGTAGTTACTTGGGCTTTTTTTGGTTGGTTGTTTCTGACACCCCACCCTCCTTGGTTAGTGTAGGCCTTTTTCAGTGCAAGTGAGCCAGAGTAGGAATTGTTGAAATGTACCTGTGGAGCAAATCTGACAAGATTCTGGTGGATCACTGGGCTGTGCTGACTGTTTGGTGCTCAGCCACCATGTGTTTAGATGTGCTCTGGGAGTGCTTTTGCAGGTGAGGAGCCTCAGACCCTTGTGACCTTTGCTTAGAAGCTTTTTTGTTTGGGCAATATTTACTGAGGGGTATACAATATGCCACAGCCTAAACTGATATTCAGTGTTTTGACCATGTATTTAATGTTTTGGGTTTTTTCCCCAAGTAACTGCATGCTTCTCAGTGCTACTTATTAATGTGTTTTCCTCTTTCATCCCCATTAGCTGTTTTCAGTACCAATGTTTCTATTGAAATTCTCCCATGTTTCTAGTGAAAATGTTCCTAATGGCAAGCAGTCACAAATGAGCCATAACATTTTAATCTGTAAACTGTAAAAGAGCCCCAACCAAACAAAAATCCATTAGAAAAACACAAGAAAAAACAGTTTTCCTGCCTTGTGAATAATGACTTCATGAATAATAATGAAGCTAAGGATTTTCATCCAGGTAAAAGATCAGCCAAACTTTAGTGGCAGCATCTTGGGTGGTTTGTTTGATTTTATTACCTGATAGTAGAAAATGAGGGCTGTAGTTCAGGTATTGTAGATTCTTGTAGTGCAACTGTGGTGTTTAAATGTGTCTCCACAGAAGGTGACCAAAGGCTTTCTTAGGTGTCACACAGTTTTAGCTGAAACTCTCCCACTTCACTGAATGTCCCATTGAACATGCAGAAGTCTTAATATTGTCTGGCATATTTGTTGACCACTGGTTTCTGGGGGGAAGTTGGTATAAGTTCCTATAGGTGAATAGGATGAGAGCAAAATAAATTATGTCCTAAATTAATTATTTCCCTTTTCCTATGTCTTTCCTCTCTGACCTTTTCCTCCCTACATTAAGGCTAAGGGACTTTACAAGAATTTATTTCACAAACAGCTATAAAGTCTTTAATATTTATAGCATAATCAGTTTTCATGTCCGAGATAGTTTTGGTCAGAGCCTTCCAGCAAAAATAGTGCTGCCCACAAGACAACATTTCCAAGTTCTTGATTTGTGTAAGAATTCCTCTCTGCTTAGTAAGCTGTTGGCTTAGACTCTGCTTTGAAGTTACTTAGACCACCCCAAGCAGTCCTTGGTCCTTTAGGTCCAGACACATCAGCTTCTTATCACTGGGTAGGAAGAAAGGTCTGTTTTTCTGTCCCCTTTCTGAGTTTTGTAATGCTGGATTCATAGGTTGCATTGGAGAGATGGGTATGGACCTCCTGCCCTTCCCTGTCTGTGCTATGGCTGTGTGGGGTGGAGGGACAAGAAGGCAAGGGGAAACCCATCAGCTAAAGCAGCAGCCCCTCTCTACCCTCCCTCATGCTCAGGATAGGAGTGACAGGCCTCTCAATAAAAGGCTAATGGGACAAAAAGTACTTGATTTGC